TCTATTCTATAAAGGGGCGACAGGAGATAGCTAATGAGGCATAGTAAAACCAACTATGTCATACCAACTGATGCTCGTTTACGAATATGATTCATATATTGAATATATCATTTTATTTTTTGTGAAATGATTCAATTAGTTTTTTTATAATTATTATTTATTACACAAAAGATCACTAACAAACATTATAGAGACATTGCTAATGTCTGCTAACCCGATTTTGTGGCTCATTTCATAGAGCGGACCTGGGGGTCTGACCTCGTTTTCCATCCGACACAATTACTACTGTCAAATAATGTCAAATTAATAGACACATGTTGCAAATGAAGCTTCATATTTAACAGAACAGGAGTAGATCCCCAGGTTAAGCACAGACGCAGAATCAAGTCCTGTTAGATCAAAAGGAAATGTTCTTTGTGTTCGATCTTTAACATTAATTTTTAATACGAAAAACAATTTTTACAATTGTCTAAGTATATAAGCAATCATGCGAGCAAGTAAAATAACAGTACAACGAAATGACCCTCTTTTTGTCTTCGTTGTTGTGAGATATAAAAAATATGAATGACCTCGTAATTAAAAATAAAATATAAAAAATTTATAGAGTTCATTTCATAAAACATGGCATCTATTTATAATTTCACATTTTATAGAAATTTCGAACATTCGAGATGTAAAAACACTAATAAGACTTTATCTCGTATTCACTTAATAATAAAAAATTACCACGTACGTTATTTTTAACAGGCTTTACATAATAAGCATATTATTTAAATAATTACATATTATATTATTATGCATTTAATAAGCATAACATTATTGTTGATGTTCTTTTAATGGATTCTGTATTATGTTTCCTGCATTCATTGATGATTGACAGTAATAAAAATGAAAGTCCATCATCAATAACGTTTCTATTAATAACGAAACAGCATAGCGCCATTGGCATTAAAAAAAAATTAAACAGTTTTGATTGCCTTTATTGCAAGGTTTGTATATTACCAGGCTGTTTTCAATGTTTTTTTTTTATAAAATTGCTATTGAAAATAATAGTATTTTTTTTAATAAGTTTCTTTTTCCATCTGATTTTTCCATCCTCTATGCTACCAACGTAATAAGGTGAAAGCGCGCTATGTAAACAAACGACGATCATGTGGCATTTTTGTTTAGTGTTTATTTATGTAAGATCATGGATTTTTTTTGTCTTTGAAATAAAAATGTGTGGAGTGAAAGTAAAGAAAACTATTTAATTTTATAACGGCACACAATAATGTTAATTATCTTTGAATTTTTATTATGTGCTATCATGGTGGATTACAGTAATTATAATTATTGGCATACAGGAAAAAAATTCAAGTAATCAAAATGTCTATTTTACATTTTGTTTGTAAATTTTGTTTATTTTTGTTAGGTTAGTAATATTTATGGCTTGTTTCCTACGAAAAGTTTCTGTGTTATATATTTCAATAAAAAAACCATTTGTAGGATTAAGGTTTTTTTATAACAGGTTGTGCGTCTGGTAGTAAGCAACACGCCTATCCTATATATATCATCTCAGAGCTTCAAATCGCGAAGATCATAGTGGCACTGCCACTGCGCCTGTCGCCTGAGACATAAGTAGACAAGTCCCATGTACCTGTAATATCACCAGCACCCTTACCCTTCCAAACCGGAACGCAGGTTCTGAATTTGCAGGAAGGTTTCTTGACATAGACAGGATATATATATTTTTTATTTCATATATCAAGTGACGGGACGAGCAAGTCGTGCACTGGTAAGCGATATGCGTACCTATAACATTTGCAGTGCCACTCAGAGCTTTAATCGCAAACATCTCAAGGCCACTCTTGCGCCCGTTACCCTGAGACAGTCCCATGTTCCTGTTGTGTTAAAACAGGAACGAAGTATTGCTCACTTTAGTACTTGGCGTCTGAAATAGGTAAAGTGGCAGTACTTCCCTGGACGAACTGTTAGGTGCTCTACTGTACTTAAACATCTTAAAACATTACAATGCTTTTGCATGAATACCAATTTTATATAATGGTAAAGTAATACAATACGTATTATATTAATGGTACTATTACAATGACATAATTAAGAAGGATTATTTTGTATTACAGGTAAGGTCGCATAAAACGAAGCCATAGAAAAGTTGGATATCTGATATACGAAATCCGCACCTCCATAGTAGGAGCGACATTTGTACAAATGTATATTTAAATATATAGCAATGACATATGTTATATAATATAATATAGAATAGAATACAATATAGAGTAACAATAGGGTTGTACTATGGGGGAAAGATGATCTCGCATAATCTATCCCTACATCTTCCTAGCTCATGACTGCTAGTCATTACCAAGCCTTACTTCAGTCGAAAGATGTCCACTGCTGGACACAGGTCTCTCTTAAAGATCGCCATAACGATCGATCTTGCGTTTGTAGTAATAATCGGAAATAACTTGAAAGAATTTGTTTCCCAAGTTAACGCTACTAATACTTGATCGAACCCAGGACTTTCTCGACTGGCGTCCACAGCACTGACCAGTAGGCTTGTCGTCAAGATCTACAATTAATAACTTACAATCAACCACCGTGTAATATATAAACCGTAGTGAACCGTAGAGTAGTGAAAATTACAAACTTCCTTTCAGTTTGTAACTTTGTTGTTCTTTATTAACGACACTTCAATAAGTTTTAACGACATGGTCTTTTCTCCCCTATTAATTTATTTATTGACTTACTACATGATGTTATTATAGTCCCGTATTTTACAAAAGCAATCTAAGTAAATATTATCATTATTATATACATATTCTTTGATGAATAGGAAATGAAACTATGTTTTCCGGATCTAAATCGTATACATTTGTTATTTCAACAATAGTATCAAAACCTAAGTCGATTGTTATAGTTATTAAAAGATGTTCTTTGGTTGAGCCTCTATGCATCTCCTAATTGTCTATCTTAGATAAGAAATTGTTTTCTAGCAAAGAACCTGTTGTACATTAGTTTATTGTGATATGGTTAACATTATATGCTGTCGTAGTTTTGGATATGAAATAAAGAATATATTATTCATTCATATTTCATTATTCATGAAAAAATATTGATTTGTACAAACCACTAAAGTATAGATATATGTATTTCGAGTGACTATAAATTATTCAACAATGAAGTAAGTGTCAAGATATAGTTAAAACTTCCTGCTTTGTCCAAGTGATACGTTTCGAAATTATATTAAGTACTCAACATAGTTTTCGTACTGCTTCATAATACAGTTTTATGTGACAAAGTTTTACGATTTGTGGCAGAAATAAACGACGGTACAATAAAGTTACATTATACTAGTTAATTTGATGCTTCGTCGAAAACGTAGTGCACAACTGTAAGCTAGACATTTCGTCTGTGTACAGAAATATCAAAAGTTTCCGGCCCTAAAGTTGGATGCGAGTCTACTGTTCCCCTTTTCCACTCTATTAAATACACAAAGCACCTGCCCAGAATCGATCACTGCCGTATTCAGTTGCCTTTGAACTTTGATTTTTCCTAAAAAAAGCTACGATTGTTATTTGACACGCCCCTAATAGATTTTTCTAACTGGATTTGTTGATTTAATTGAAGGCAAGATTTCTTTCATCTTTCTTTTAGACCAGTTTCAAGGTAAAAATAAATATACTGCAAGATTTACCAGTTTATTTAAAATTTATTACTTAACGTTTACTGCAATATATTTTCGGTTTCACGTTATTGGACGTAAAGGTAAACATAACGTTAGTGACGTCACACTAATTTCATCAAAGTGAAAACGCGTCAGGCATTTTCCACGCTACTTGTTTCGAGTTTCTGTCAACGGTTCGACTAATGCTTCCGTCGGTTTCCAATTTTAAACTTTTGATGGCGTTTACGGGCGCGATATCGATTTATGGGCCATTTGATATTCCGAAATCGATTTTGTTCATTTCGTGAACGAGAGCCGCCCGTTCATTCATTTGCGACACCCGTTTTTCTTTTAACGCATTGAACCGAAGCCAAACATTTTTCTACACACTATTGGTTTAACAAATGGCCCACAAATCACGCCTTTAAATCCAATTTGTGGCTTTAGAAATTTCGATATAATCGCCGTTCGTACTCAAATTGTGATATAAAGGGCCTACCGCGAACGATTTGTACGCACTGATACAGTTAGAATGAAAAGTAACAATCAAGGGATCCCACGGTATGAGGTCGTCGAACGAAACTCCCGTCAGCCGTGACGCTTATCGTATAAGCTTGCGTCGACTGTACATTTCATTCATATTGCTCTTTTTCTTTTGCTCCGGAGTAATGTAGAAAATATTATGCATTAATTTGTGCGTAATCAATGCATCTTTCATAGACGGAGTGAAATAGGTCAGTTTATAGCTTTTATGCACCGACAGTCTCGTCGATTCGATTACTGGTCGGTCAGACGTGCCAATTGGGGATACAGATCGAATTGCAGTCAATGTTGAATGTGGTACAATTTTAAATAATTCACTTCTAACTGTTAATCAAACACGATGATTTGACAAATTGTTACGGTAATGGAGATGATTCGAATGGCTGAAGCATGTAAAGTAATATAATATTCTGTTTTCACGTACTTTTTAGTAGCAGTAGAGCTCCTTGTGAAAAGTTCGTTCAGGAAAATACTGCCACCTTACCTATTTCTGTCGCCAAGCAGTAATGTTAGCATTACTGTGCTTTGGTTTTGAAGGGTAATGGTGCTGGTGACATTACAGTGGCATGGGACTTGTCAACTTATGTCTCAGGATGACGGGCGCAGTGGCAGTCACCTTCAGATTTTTGCGATTTTAAGTTATGGGCAAGTGTGTACTACCAGGCGCACGATTTGTTCGCCCCGTCACTTGTATTCATTAAAATATAACCTCCCTTATAACTTCCGTCTATGAAAAACCGTACTTAAATTCAAAACGTTAAACAGCTTTGAAAAAGTGTTTTTTCTTTTCCAGGTGTCAAGGCCAGAAAACCGCCGATCAGTATCAGTTGGCGCTACTGGTGGAGTTACTGCCACGGAACGACATTCGTACGCTGAAGGTCGAGTACCTGCTCCTCATGGGCTCCCGCCCTCGCCAGGCGCCGTGGCCGCACAGCGAAGAGTTGCCGCGGCCTGTCAGGCCAGCCGGAGACTCTTGGAAGAGACGCTGGCTAAAGGTGGTCAGTACTGTTTTGGCTGTACTTGCATTGGCTTATACAGGGTTATTTGTAAAATACTAACAACCTCCTAGGACTATATTGCTAACATCTTAAACAACAACTACATGTACACATTTGCACACACAGATACAAATACTTGTCTATTTCTGAGGTTGTTCACGTGAAAAAAAATTACTAATACATTGTAAACTACAACATTGTAACTAAATTACATTTTCTAATTAAATAAAATAGTCATTTGTTCCTAAAAATATTTTTGCTTGACATAATTTAATTTCTCTGTGAATATGGTTGCCTACAAGACAGGCCATGCCTAGTTAGTATAGGAATCAAAAGTATCCTTGCGCGCATTTTCTTAATCGTTTCGCAGCACCATTATCGATCAACTTGTATTTTTTATATCGAGTTTTTAGGTTGCGCGATTGTTACACATAGGAAATGAAACTATTTTTCCTTATTTAAATCGCGTATGTGTTTGAAAAATTTTGTGTTTTTTGTGAGAGGTGAAATAAATTTAATTTATTATTAGTATTATTTTTAACTAATTCTTCCATGACTTTTTATGAAACATATTAAATTTATTAACAAGTGTTATTTAATGACAAAGATACTGTTTATTTGTTGAGAAAATTTTCTTGCCTTATGTAAAACGGTGGATCACAAATCAGCAAAGATGAGCATTGGGTGAAAACCAAATCAACCCGACCGGGTTTTAATCCGTTTACCGATTTTATACGGATACGGATTTTTGGTATAATTCCACATTTATAGCAACTTTCGATGTAAAGAAAACAAAAAATCTATTCAAGTGCATACGATCCAACAATTTTTTGTATCGATTCATTTTAATGCGATTTTCAAGCGAACTAATTCCATAAAAAGGCAAATCGAATCGTCTACATCAGAAAGCAATAAACATTTTGTAATTATTCATTACCAAAACTCAATTTACAACAAATATTTAGTTGTAAATAGTGCCTTCGACTTTTGGCATTAATAGGTTTTACACAGGTAAAGCTGCTGTTTGTAAAATGCAAACAGCAGCTTAAACTTAAAAGTTCTACGTCACAGCTATAACTCATCTCGAATTCTGGAGTTTATTCTCAGGCATGTCGCTATTAAAATTCTTCGAGAAAACTTAATGCACATAAAAGGCCTGACGATCTGTCTTAATTAACAATCTGACATTCCTCAAGCAAAATTGTGCTTATTACAGGAATATTACACGAATTTTTGATAATTTTCATTACCAAGTGTGTTATTTAGTTGGGCATTAAAGTGAGTTTTTACATTTTGGCAAGGGAACTAAGTTTAATTGCACTTACTTTTCCTAGCAAGTTGATTTCACGTTGATTTTTTATGTAGACTTTTTACGAAATTACGTACAAATTCCATGCATTTTTCTTTATATTTGCGTAATGTGCATATTAACGGTACATGTTCAGCACTTCTCATAGTAATTAGTAACAAGAGTTAACCTTTTGTGGTCAAAACTTTCGTCATTGTTGCAAACCATTTGCTGGTGAAAGTGGAGGAAATGGATGAGAACAGAAGTGTGAAAGTATTCAGATTTACCGACTTAGGTTTATAACAGAATGTACAATTGCAAGCATCATGAGTAAACTCGGTATAATGCGTTTAGTATTTTTCATATTTTATTCATGTACTATGACCTATGTGGCCCAACGGTTAGCACTATAGGCGCTAGATGAGGAGGTTCCGGGTTCGATTCCCGGTAGTACCAATTTGGAAAACGAACTATTGGAGTGAATTCTCTAAGTACAGATAATTCCCTAGTTTGAGATCAGGGAATCGGGAACACGGAACCTCCTTATTCAGCGCCTACAGTGCAAACCGTTGGGTCACACATTAAACTTTGGTGGCCCAATGGTTAATATACAATGGTTTTGTATTTGAAGGCGTTTGCATAATCCATTAAGGCGTTTAAATAAGTCCATTTTAAGAAAGGTATTCTACGAAAATGGTATAAAAACAATCCTTGGTTCTCAATTCAATAATAAGATACTTGCGATTTTTGTCGCAATTGTAACAAAATGGAAGAAACACCGAAAAATTCTTCAAATTTGCAACACGAAATGAAGACGTTCTATTTAAAATTTCTCTCCAAAAAATGGTGAGAAAGTTCGAAAATGTGTACACCTGTTATCAAAACAAATTTGTAACATCTCAGCAGATTACGATGACACAGCGAAAAGCTAATTTTAATAAAATTAAAACGGTACTCTGTTTGTAGTTTCACTCCGCTAGTTAGCTGATTAAAACATTAATTAAATTAGATGGCACCACTACGCTCGGATTTTATCTTGGGAATTCAAGGATCGTGGTTTGCACGAGTTTCAAAATGGATATGTTTCAAAAGGGTTATTCGAACAAACTTCACTTTATAGTAGCAGTAATTAAAGTTCGTTCCATATTCTTGAGAGGTAGGTTAATGTTATCTAATAATAGATAGTAAAATGGATCTGTTTCTCTGTATTGTTTTTGAAATTCTGACAATTGTATTACCGCCATACTTAGTTTAGGTTCTCTTTGAAACTGGAAGAGGGTGCAATAGAAGACCTTAATTCAGGAAATGTTTAGTGTAAAATGTAATAGAACCAATTCAGTATACCGTAATCTGGTTGCATAATAGCTCTTACCTTAAGTTAGTGGGAATTTATCCCTTTTGAGCTTGTGTTTGTAGAACGTGGCTAATTTATTGAACGGACGTGTGGCGAACGAGCTAAGGTTAGATGTTACTGATTGTTTGACTCAAAATGTACTTATATGTTATGTAGGTTTACATGTTAGGGCTAAAAGAGATGACTATACTGCCACTGACGAAATGCGAGGCAAAATGCCTTATGAGACAATAAGCATAGAGCAGATTATTAAAGACAATAGAGGGGAAACATGTTTGAACATCCGATACGTCACGACAATTTTCTTAGAAGCATTGTAGAAGGGAAGATCGAAGGAAAGAGAGGAAGGGAAAAGTTAAAAAGTCATATCGGGATAAAAAAACAAAGTTAGGGCGCTGAACAGAGATGGTTGGCGATTACTCCATGAACAAGAGCCTAACTCTTAAATAAGAAGAAGAAGCTGTACTCTACCAGGCTATACCTGATTACAAATAGAACATCCGTTGAATGCGATATATTACTGTACTTGTACTATGTCGTCTCATTAAAAAAAGGTTCTGAATGCGGCTCTCACGGACTAGGGAGGCTTTGAACGGACAACAAGAACAATGGGATCCCACAGGACACGGGCTATATAGAAAGCCCTGTAAAAAGCCCTAACAAAAGGCTTGGACTAGAATACTTTTGTTTGGATTAGACAGATTGCCTAAGGAACAATGATGAAAGAAGTGTACACTACAGATTCATATAAGCATAACAATTTTTTATTTGAAAAACGAGCTCTTTTTGGTATAGTTAATTGGTTTGTAAACTAATAATAAACTACTTTCAGTTAATTTATTTTGGGCACTTCTTTCTAGCCGGTGCGCAGTTCTGTATTATACTTTATGTGGCCGAAAAAATTTTAAACGCCTAGCTCCGTAAATTCATCTATTAGCGTTAATACGATAACTACGTTGAGGCCCAATATGGTTCATACTGAATTATATAAATTTGTTACACGATGCCAAGCAAACGAACACAACAAAAACCTTGAAACACCTTGAGTGAACCACTTAATTTGGTTCTTCAGGGAACGTAGCCTCATCAGTTCGAAAAAAAAATAATTGCCATCGTGACTTCCTATAAGATGCAAAGTTCGGATACAAAAAGAGCTATGTCGTAATTTTTAAAACGTCATGAAAGTATTGTGTCTATCGTAATGGTCTTCACAGTTTGCCATCAAGTCGTATTTGCTCCTTTTGTGCTCTTAAAATTTGAATTCAAAATGTTGGTTTAGAAACGCTGTTGAATACAGAACCATGGTGTAAATTAAAGTAAATTACTACTTCAAGTTAATTTTTATTTAAAAAGACGTTGATTATTTTTATGTTTCAAATATACAACTAAATCGAAACTTGTTAAAAAATCACAGAGCAAAAAATATGACCAGTGAAAACGCGTAATGCAATAATTCATATGTGTTTTTATCAACAGGAACCCCACCAACGATCGTGCAACCCCCCAATGGCGGGTACTGGGTGGATGGAGTGGATGACACACCACCTGGTGCAGAAGAATCTGAACGCACACAACAGCCTGGCACTCCACGGCAGGCTTCACGACGGCATAATATAGACACCGATGACACTGCCAAGTATTACAGGCGATTCTTCTTTGGCATGGTAAGTTCTCTAGAATATTTCAATAGCCATTTAGATTGTTAGCCTGATTTATAAAGCACTGAAAAGAAACCGGGAAATAAAACAGCTCTGGTTTTTTTGGTTTCAGTATGACGCGTCTTTATCCCACTCATAAGGCATTATTTGCCTCTCATTACACTACACAAAGCATTTACTTAAATCAACCCTGAAACCAACTACGTATACTGTTTTGGTTTTGCTTTGCCTATTTCCATTCGACGCCAAAGGTGACTTCAGCTAACAACTCTAAAGGTCATCTTCGATAAGAGTCATCTTTAAAGTACAGGGTTTTGCCACAAACGACATTGTGCAATCATGAGGTGGGAATAATGACTTAATCGATAAACCAGTACTCTTAAGGGTTACTATTAATCATCTAGAAATCGGTGAAATATGTTGATGTTCTTGTCAATTTTTAGACCATAAATTTATTATGATGCAGTTATCTGAATAGTTTACAGTACTTTGGTATCTGTGATACAGTCCAATGTAAAATAAAATACATTGGTCACTTTTCCAATAATAGTAGCCAGATATATGTCATTTAGGTTGACTTAATTTCCGATATTTTGCAACATTGATATGGCACTTGATTATATATAAAGAAAATAATACTATTCCGCACAAGAGAAAATGAGTCAGCCGTGACCATGGGACTTGTAAAAAATTCAGAATGGTGGTTTGTTTGGCAAAACAATGATTCAAAAAATATAGTTTCATTTTCGATGTGTAGCAATTGCGACAACCTAAGAACTCCAAATTAATATAGAAGTTACTGAAGTAACAAAACGACAAGCTCATTTGCAATACTTGTATAAAAAGTAATCTTAGAAGCCAAAATACTCGTAATTATTTATAGTCACGTTCAAAACTTGAACCGATAAAAAGCAGCAATAAGGAAAAAATGTATAAATCAAATCACAATAATTGGTTTCGTGACCCAATCGTACTTTCTTCTGGTCCGTTGACCAGAAATAAAAGGTGTGTTACAAAATAAGTGCGACTGGGACGAGTACAGAGGACGCGAACCATCTGCATTGACATTCGCGCCACGCTGTCTGCGGTAGACAAATAAAACTTCGTCTGTTGCCAACTTTATTCATCGTGGAGCTCACACGTTATTTTATAGCACAACGAATTTAAATAAAAAGTTTACCCCGAATTTACGTCTTTAAATCGTTGATGTTGTATCTCAATTCCTAACATCTCATGATCGTGGTCGTTCGTGATTCTTTATTTGCATTATTTACTAGCTACTTTTGAGAAATACCAGCTATTACCACTACACACGTTGTATCTCCACAACCATTATCTTGGCACAGGGTCAAGAGCACACGAAGCTTGACATTTAAAATTTAAAATTCAACTCAATGTCGCATAGCATAACAAGGGTCCAAAGTACTTTATTTCAGTTATTCTATGTTCATTTATATGCGTCACTTTGCCAACTCTTTCCGGAATTTACAAGTGCTTTATAAATTTGTTATGCGACTATACGTCCACTTAATCACGTTCGCCTTTATTCTGTTCTGACCCTTCACCTCCAGTTATAGAATTTTTGACTATCAAAATATTTTCATATTCTTTATTTTCTGTGACTTTTGTAGTAAGTTCAGGTAATCGATCCATGAAAGTGGAGTAAACCGTGAAATGTTAACCTTTTGCCTGCCATCATTCACGAGTTTCGATTTATTTGGTTGGCAATTTTATGTAATTGATTTTCATTGCAATTTCGTGCTTTACTCTTTTTGCAATGGAAAGCTTGTCGATTTCCTAAAGCATTCCTTCTTTTTACTTGCACACTTTGTTTGTATAGACTTTTTCTTTTTATCTACTTACTATAATAATTCTAATTGCTTGCAGCGCTTACATTCTACATGTACATTTTTATGTACTATTTTTAATTTTCCTGATATCTATTTCAAAAGTCTTATTATTATCTCAGAAATCTTACATTATTTTCTATAATATTTAAGTAAAGTTTAATTCATAAACAATTTAAAAAGTATATATTCTGAATGGTTTAATACAACATATTTTGCTTGTCTACAAAAAGACTTATATAGGGAACTTATGTGGTCCGAAATTCGGTAGTATGTTAACATTTAATTAACAATATCGGAAAAATACTATACTGAAATGATATTTTAAATATATTTCAATTTTTTAAAGTAATCGTGAATGTTGTTTAAAAAAAGCTAATGACCGACCAGTGGCGTATATTTTCGATTTTTGTCGACGGGCCCCTTTTAGTAAAATATTTGCGGAGATTGATAGTCTGCGATCATTTAATACCATAACGTCGTTTCACGGGAATCGGCATTTAGTCGCGAAAAGATGTCTAATTTTTAATTTTAAAATGACGCATTCGTAGTTGATTAATAATATTTGCGTCAAGTATGATCTTCTTTACAAAATGTACAGTAAAAAAACATACAGGCGTTCATGGATAATACCTAATAATTAGTTTTCTCTAAAAGCCATGAATTACGTTCCGCGGTTAATTTCAATTTTGATAATACATACATAATCACGATTTTATGATAAAACTCAAATCTTTAATCGTAAAACCTTATCTTTTGACTGTATATATGGCTTCAACTTTATTTTACATTAATGGAAAAAGCATTTACTTTATAATTTCGTCTAATTTTCCAATGGATAAAGTGCAAAGTCAGTTTTTAAGGCCTCTGCTACATTAATTGTGCTAATAAACTACAAATATCTACTCCTTTGTCAGGTTGTGCGTTTAGTATTAGCGATAGCATTACAAAAAAATTAAATATAATTTTATAACGATTGTTCTGCTTCTATTTACATTAGCTATTTCAAAGAAATTTAATCATTATTTTAATAAACTCCCCCACTCTTTATCTAATCTATTTTGCTCTATTGTCTTCTTGTAGAAATATTTAGTTTAATTAAATTGTAAAAAAACATCTAAATCCGCTACCGCTTCATCCAACACTAACAGATATTCCTCATCCTTACTCCATATGACATCGGTACAGTTAGACACGTGTGAACTTTCCCATACCCACGACTTAGGCGCTGCTTTTTCTTCTTTTTTCGTGTCATTCCAATTGGTGTAATTGTTGGCTTAAGCTGCGACAATTTAGATAAGGTAACTTTATTGTTTTTAGGGCCCTTTGGGTCACCTGAATCATACATAAATAAAAAAAAACGGTAGTTCCAGCACGCGCGCTCAGTTTGAACTGTTAAAATATTTTACATCATTGTTACTTTGAACCAGTTACCAAGAATAATATTTTAAGTGGCAAAATTTAATGTTATATTTGGTTAAGTAAAGCTTTACAATTTTACTTTAAATCATTGGAAAAACTGCCTAACTGTCTACGTGGCCAAACGGTTACCATGCCGGTCTGTCATGCAGAGGTCCCGGCTTCGATTCCCGGGCCGGGAGAAATATTTTATGGCGTACTTGGGTGTTATTTTGTGGTTGTCTATGTGTGTGTCCATGGCACATTCCTTACTGCGGGGTTATGAGTGTATGCGTTATTATTATTAGGGTGCATTTATTCTACACGAATTTCATCGCGCGTAGACCGCGTGGTCGCCGCGCAGCGACCGCGTGCATCTAACTGCCATGGCAAAGTACGCTCTATTTATTTAGCTTTTATGTTTTTACTTAAATGAGCGTCTCGGGCGTGGTTTATATTATTCTAAGGATTAAATGTTGTTGCCTAGTAAATAGAATTCAGATTCGCCATTAACTTACATTAACTGTGTAAAAATAAAAGAAAATCTCATTGAAAATAAATAAAATAATAAAGTTAAATTCAAGTCTACTTTGCATAAAGCTTAGTACAGTCCGACGTTTTCAAGTGTAGGCATTTCGCGTAACTATGCACATAACGCTCGGGAAAGTTCCTAACCGCAACTGATAGCTGAGACGCCACTTTGTCTGTGAGCGTAGGCAACTAACATTATATGCGTTCACTCACTTCTAGGTAATGAATACTATATTGTTCTACGGAAAATGCGTAGTAAACTTGATACAGGAAGTGACTATTTTCCATTATTAAAATATAGGTATGTTGTTTTTAATTAAACACTGAACTTGTGTAAACGAGGAAAATATGCAAACTGGATCATAAACCGTTGCGTAGAATATAAAATTCAATATCGTTTTTCGGAAATAAAATGAACCAAATGCTTGCACCACTGAAATTAAAAAAAAATTTTGAACTAAAAATGCGTGTCCACCAATTAACGAATGCGCACCCAAGCGCTTATAAGGGTCCAGGCACTCATTATATGTGGAAAAAAATCTCAAGCGATAGTGGGAAAAAGCGTCTGAGTGCACTAACGCGGAACAGTTTGGCTTCACGCCCACTGAACTAAGTTCTCAAGTGTAGATCGGGTAGATTACAACATTACTGAGTAATTTGAAACTCGCCCGTGTATACGGCACCTAATCATTCGTACCAATCTTAACAGATGCCTTGTTAAGAAAAACTTGTTGACGTAGTGATACAGAGCATTTGTAAGAACAGTAGGCCTATTAGAGAAATATCTCACGCACTGGTTCATGATTATAAAGGACAAACCGGTTTGAATTAAATCACAACTAAGCAATGTGAAACTTATTAGGTCTTAAAGGGTTACCGGTACTTCAACATCGCGTTTGTAATAAATGCACACAAAAACGCCCACACTCTTAGCCCCGCACTAGGGAAACCCTTTACCGCTGCCATGGACACATACATAAACAACCACAAGTTACATCCGAACTCCGAGAGAAATAAATGTAGGCCATACAAATATTTCTCCCACCGGCCCGGGAATCGAACCCGTGACCTCTGTGTGGCATACCAACATGGTAACCGTTCGGCTATGGAGGCAGTTATACTAAACATAACGTAGTTTATTTAGGATATCGTTGGCACGTTTATTGCTGAATGGAGTGAATGGAGGAATAAATGGAGCCCCGCCACCACCGCCTGACATTGAGAATTCTC